CAAATGGAAATTTGCAGGAAGAGATCTAGATTCATTATGCATTTTGACAAGCTGACCTACAATTTAAGTATAAAACTTTATATTTCAAAAGAAAATATGACATAATTTTTGTAGCTCTCCTTGTTTTGATTTTCTAGAGAACTTTTTGTTATATTTAAAGAGAAAATGTGGCTGTTATCAGCATGTTGACATTAATATTCACAACTTTGCAGATTGCCTTCTAAATAGCTCCAATGAGACCCAGAACTTGTAGCACTGGTACAGTCTACCCATATTAGTAATTGCTTTTCATTAATCTAAATGACATCGATGCCCTGGCTTAGAATATTCTACGATTTTATATTTCAAAAACTTCAATCCATGGTAAAAAGTGTTTGTGTTCATTTCCTTTTCTTCAGCTGGATCTATAGCTTCCTATCTGGTTATCTTGAGAAGGCCATTCATTCCAAACTGGAGGAAAATGTAAGTTTGAAAAGATGATTTCAGATAGTGAAGGGAGGAGTTCAAATACAGCCCTTGCATTGCTGACTTCTCTCTCTTTTCCTATAGATATGCCTAAATATCAAATACAAAATACAAATTATGGATGCACATCTTAGAAAGCAGAACGGTGAGTTGCTGATTTGAGCTTTTTGAGTAATTTTCACAGTGTGCTGTTTGTAGTGTTTTTATGACTTGCCAATCCATTTCTGTGTTCACAGTACAAAAAAAGCAAAGAGATAAAGACTGAGCCATTGTTCTCTACATTATTTCATTTCACATTCTTAGAAATCTCTTGCAAGAACCTTATAGGCAATATTCAGATTTCTTCTGTCCCCATAGCAGGTCACCTGTAATCTTTCAGTTTGTTGTAGCTAACAAATGTTATTTCCTTAGATTTTCAAGATGAAATTTTCCCAATGATCCTTTATGCTCTTGCTATGGTGGACATAAGAAAATCTAGCAGTAATGCACTAAAAAGCTAACAAATATCCAGTCTTGCACTATAGTCCTGCAAGATCTCACAAGCTTAGCACATCATGTTTTAAACTTGATGTCAGTGAGATAACAAGATGATGCAGGAAGACAGAGTCACCCTAAGCATATTTCTCTTCACAGCAGTAACAATTCCTGTGTCACTCATGTCACAGAGGCATGAAGACAGTAGATACAGATGCTCAAAAAGCGTTTAAGATTTTCGTAATTATAATTAATAAGTATCCTACACCTTTTCTTTTTCTTCCTTTCTTTATTTTTTCTTTCTTCCTTTTTTTTTTTTTTTTTTGGCAAGACTATTTGTCTGTAGTTTTCACTAATTTGAATTCACATAATTCTCCTATGTAATTACATATATATATATATATTATATATATTATATATTATGTACACACAGAATCATAGAATGGCCTGTGTTGGAAGGGTCCTCAAGGATCATGAATCTCCAACCCCCCTGCCACATGCAGGGCCACCAACCTCCACATTTAATACTAGACCAGGCTGCCCAGGGCCCCATCCAACCTGACCTTGAACACCTCCAGGGACGGGGCAGCCACAACCTACCTGGTTGTGTCAGCACCTTACCACTCTCGTAGTAATGCACGTATATAATATATATTATGATGTATTAATGTCAGAGATTTCTTTCCAACTCTTCAGTTTGCATTGTGGATATAGCTGCATATTCAGAAGCAGAGTATGCAGACTTGTGTTTGTTTTCTTTCCCCAAAATGGCTATGTGCCATACACTGGGAAATATTACTGAAAATCATGGTTATCAAGAACATTGTTTACATAGCAGGTACCCAGACAGTTCAGGCTCAAGGTTGCTGAAGGCTGTGCTATCATACTGAAGACTTCATAATCTCGGTGTGAATTCTTTTTCTTTAAAACCATCTAATTATTTATGCAATGTGAACAGAACTTAGAATCCAGTCAAAAAAAAAGTCAGACTGAAGTTGTATGTGAGTACTTTTCAGAAAAAGAAGTCTTTGGTCACATTGTCTGATAACAAACAAATCATCTTCAACACTGATATGCATAAAATGCTAATGTCATCTTCCAGAGTATTTAGTACTGTTTTTCTTTACTGTGCTAAACTCATAGAAGTTCAGTTCTCTTGTGGAAACACAAAACAATTAAGAGGATCCTGCCCTTGGTATTGTGCTGCATGAAAGCAGATTTCTGAGGGGTCAATTAAGTTGTGAAACAAGAGAAGTAGGCCTGTAACTTTCCCTTAGTTTTTTTTCTTCTTCCTTCTCCCACTTTCCCCCTCATCAGATTCATCATTTCTAGAACATCTTTGCCTGTAACTAAATAAAAGCCACTATGATGCTTTGGTAATAATGCCTATTTTGTTTTTGTCTATTATTTTTTCTAGTCTTAAGCCAAATAGATGCCTTTGCACAAATAGACTATTCCCTAGTTAGTTCTCCAGCAGTCTTCAAATCACACATTAACTTGGATTTGAAGGTAATTTGCCATGAATATCTCTGTGCTCTCAAAGTCTGTTCTGATACTCTTCTGCATTTTTTCATTTTCTTTCACTACAGTCTTACTCAACCTCTCCACTATTCAGTTAGAAAAGCAATAAGGATTTGGGATGTCTTGGGTAACAGCTGTTTTAGAAACCAGACACAAGTGTTTATTTAATATAGTAACTGCATTGGTTAATTCACCAAAATAAATTATTTCAGTTGAATCCCTTCAGATTCAGTGCTTTATAGTGAGTGGTATATAATCTGTGATGCCTACCACTGTGATTACAATCCAAAGTGTTTGTTTTGGGATGAGTTCATGTCTTGTATATGGACAGGTCACACCCAAAAAAGACTTCTCACAGAGAAGCAGCACACAGCAGTTCCTTTCTCACTAATTTTTCACCTATTCTGGCAAGAGATATCCCAGCAACACTCAGCTGATCCAGCAACTTCAACCATCCCTGTAAGTTAGAGCATCCCCATTGCTCTCAATTGCCTTCAGTTTAGAAAGACATGCTGAAGTAACAGCTGAAACTTTCTCTCTGCTTATTTTATTCAAGAAACACCATCCACAGAAAAAAAAAAAAAAAAAAAAAGAAGCGCACCAAAGTTCTTTGGACACCTTCTGCAAGGAAGATATATGCAGTTTAAGAGTATTTAGCAATACTGTTAATTCTTCAGCTACAGCTAGTTAGAATTTACAAGTTAAACTGTAACATGCTGACACCCATCATGAGATTACAGATGAGTCAGGTAAAGAAGTGATTGGTCTTCAGTGTTCCTTGGAACAAGCTGATCCTTGATGGTTTTGAGTTGTCCAGCTCTCAATCTTTTTTTTATCAGGATTAGGTGTTTCCTTTGTGTCTCTCTCTCACACTACTTCTAGTGCTTAACAGGAGATGAGGAAGAGTTCCTGAAGAATTTCCTTATATGTCACTCATAGATTAAGTCAACAACGTTATCTTTGCAACAGAAGAAAACTGTGGTCTATAGGATTTTTATTCTGACTCATGGTGGCAGTTCAGAACATTCACTTGAATGCTCAAATTCAAATTTTGAAAGGGTGGAGGCCAGGTTCTCCACGATTCCTGTTTTTTTTTTCCAAAAGAACTTCAATTTGCTGATTTTCAAGGCGTATAAGAAACTGTTGCTTGCTTCAGGTTTTGCTTATTGTCAATTTTATCTTCAGGTTAAGAAGATGGAATAAGAATTCCCTCTGTTCAACCACTACTAATGCATTCTGACAAATACAGATGCTTACAAGTAGAAATACTTGTTAATGACTCTTTGCAGGGCACAGTCTATCCAGTAGGAAATCACACAGACCCTCCCTTTGTGCCTGCTCCGTTTGGTCTCCCAAACAAAGGTGATTCCATGCTCTACTTAGGAGTCTCCAATTATTTTCTTAAGTCTGCTACATTGGCTTACTACAGAGCAGGGGTCTTTAACATCACCATCTCCAAAGACGTGAGTATAATTTGTATGTAATGGAATTACAAATACCAGTAGCATGAATGCTCAGCAAAGGAGGTTAATACTTTGCAGGCTGCCCAGGGAAGTGATGGAGTCACCATCCCTGGAGGTGCTCAAGAAATGTATGAATGTGGCACTGAGAGACATGGTCAGTGGGCATGGTGTGGATGGGTAGGCAGTTGGACTAGGTGATCTTAGTGGTCTTTTCCAACCTTAATGATTCTATGATACTGTGATTATGTTTGCCATGTCACACAGGTCTGGATCAGAATTCTACCGCATATATGACTGAACCAGGACATTTTTTTCTTCATTTCATCATTTTAGATAGTGAAAGTCTCCCTCAGGCCTGAACTTACTGGCAATTCTAGGCAGTAAATGGCAGAGATGAATGTCACAGAGCTGGTACACAAAGCATGCATGAAATAACCAAAGAAAGCTTTCCTCTGCATGAGTTCCAAACGACAATGGAAAAGGCAAGATAGGAAAAAGAATACTTAGTCCTCCATTTGCTGCATAGAAACCCGCAACACATGTACTGGCTGTGCTGAAAGCAGCAAAATGAGGCAAGAAGCAGATACAGGGAAAGTAAGCTTTCAGTTGCGGGTGAAGAACATGTAAGACTTGTCTCAGAAATGCTGTTTCCACTACACCATTAGTAGACAGGGACTGCAAGAAGTTTTGCTTGCTGAAACATTGCTAAGAGGGTCTGGCATTGGCAAACATCATCACAGCGGTCAGCAGGAAAAGGGCAAGTAACATTTTTGAGTCCTATCTGACAGATTGAGTGCATTCCATCTAAGAAAGTCCCAAAGGCAGGAAGAAAGCAGGATGCCAGGTCTGTTCTTTGAAAGCATAACATGTACTTCCTGTCTGGTAGGTGCCTCTGAGATAGGTCCATGAGAAAAAAATCTTTCTCTCCTCTATTCCACAGATTACTGTGGCTCCCCTAGGAATCATACTGGGCCAAGGAAATACTAAATTTAAACATGGATTATCTAGAATCAAAGTAAATAGAGTATGCTTTTTTCAAGGAAGCCCTCATTTTTAAGCTCATATAATAACCTGACATTTAATTTGTTTACAGCTAGCTACTACTTTTAACCTAACTACAGCCATGCTGAAAGATTTTGTTCCTGAGGTGGGTACTTCTGCTTGTACAGATCTTTCAAAAAAAAAGCAGTAGCTGATATCTGCTGTGGATATTATTTGTGTAACATATTTGCAAAAGTTTGGAGAAGACAAGGAAGCTGAGCTCATTTACAAGTAGCGGAAGATTCAAACATACATGTCCTCTCCTCATAACTCCACATTCTTCCTATCTATATCACACTATTCTGAAGTCACTCTCTGCCCCCATGAGTGCCAAATTCACTCTCAGTCTCTGCAACTATAAAGTCTCTGAAACTCTGAAACTTATAAAGACTATGTGCTGGACATCTTCTGCAAGATCGGTCTCCTTTTATTCCTATTGAAGTAAAGGCATCTCTGTTGTGCTGGTCTGACTTCTCTATTTCAAGAAACCTTCTGGCTGCAGGAAATTATATACAATGGGAAATAATAGTCATGAGGAGCACAGTTTATAAATGCAATGCAGGACATTAAGATACTTACGAGATGCTTTAAAAATACCTAATATGGCAACATTTGCTATGAAGTTATGACATTTTTTGTCCTCTAAGCGTTAATCTTTTTTTCTTTTTTTCAATGACTCTCTGGAAGGCTGCTCTTCCAATTTTTTTTATTGTCATGTTGTCAGGGTCATCAGTTTTTTTGTGCGTGTGTGGGAGGGAATTGTTCATCTAACTCATTCCCTCACTTCTTTATCATATGTTACCAGTCCCCTCCTTTTGAAGTCCCTTAAATTATTTCTCCAGGTAAGTTCAATATTGGTGGGTCTAAAGCTTCTTCATTCACTTTGTGGTCTCTGCAAGTCAGCATAATGCCATGCTAACTTCAACATTTAAACTGGTGTAATACAAATTGACTATTTTGAAGTTACTCTTGAGTTTAACAAGAGTATTGTTATATAGCACCTTGTTGTGAGGTAGCCACAAAAACTGTAGTTTAAAAAAATCTTAAGCTGCAGGAACTCCACATTCAACCTTTTTTCTCTGAAATCCCACAGATTGCTCTGCATTGCCTGACAGCTTGCCCAGTGCTTCTGAAACTGATGGCTACATCACCACCTGTTGTCATTTTGCAGTCCGACACATGCAGACTGTGGATCACTGGGTCTGTAGAGGTGTTTGCTGTTCTGCCAAATTCAACCATCCAGTACATCTTTACAGGGAATCTAGTAAGTAGCATGAACTAAAAGATAACATTCAGTGCTGAAGCTAAACAAATTATACAGTAATCTTTCAAGTCCTTCTAAAATCAGACATCAGCATAATATACCATGTGCAGGTCTGTCACAAATGCACATACTGTTCCGTTGCATTTCACAAGGAGAAAATGTGCACTACATACTGTAGAATTTAATATGCAGGTACAGCAAGCAATTTATGAAACTCATTCTTCCCATGTGGGAAGTTGAGTGATTCTTTGAGAATAAATTGTAATGTATATAAATGGGATTATCTGATGCTCCTAACTTGTTCTTTCTTGTTCAGTGTGTTCCCAGACATCTTTTCATTAGGTTGAAAGTGATCCAGTTAAGTCAGCCATTCAGGGATTTAAATGACACTAATGATAAGGAAGGAATCAGGGCAGTATTATCACTTCACTCAAGTGATCCCTGCTGCACTCAGAAAGCAGCAAATTCACAAATGATTTCACTATTTATACATACTGACTAAATATAATGTTTAGGTGTTGTGTTTCCAATGACAAAAAGCAGTTGCATTTGTGCCTGTAGCTCAGACACAGGCACAAATGTATACAGTCACAGAAGATTGTTTTGTTTTTTCCCCACAGACAACAAGTACCAGAGGCAATTTGACAGTAATCAAACAGAAGCTGATCATCTCATTACTTCTGAAGAGGTAATTAAGGAAAATTCAGAAAGCAACATTAATGACATTAATGATTCAAATGCTAGTACCCACCAGAACATCATTCTGTCTATCTAACAGCACTTGTTTTACCAAAAGAAGAGAAATGGTTACCTTCTTTCTCACAGGGGCTCTAAAATACTTTTGACTACTTAATTTATATCATGTAGATAAAATATAGTAATATTGTGGAATAACCACGTCTCCTGTACAATGTGATATTACCCCTTTCTCAAGGTTAAATACCCCTCCAAATGACAGTGTTCAACATATTCAATATCTTAAAGTTATCTGTTTAAGTCTGTGCTGATGCTTGAGAATGAGGTTTAGTAGTTTATTCTACACCCTTTACATGTTGCTGCCTTGCCTTGATGTCTGAACATCATAAACAGATGCCACCATGAAAACACTTTACTAGGAGCAGTACAGCAAGCTCTCTGTACACCTTTCCATGTGGAGAAGGGAAAAGTGACACTACGTAGCTGATACTACAACATGCCATCAAACAAATGAGACTAGAACTGTCTCTGTAATTTGAAACAGTGCTCAGAACGTTTTAGATACTGCTTACATCTTGCTGGTTTTCTGGTTACCTACAGCTACATGTGTTTTCAGCTGACTTTCAGCAAATTTTATTCACACTTCAAACTCAGTTATGTTTAAAGCCACTTTCTCGCTAAATGTGTAATTATGTAGAAGTACAGACTTTCAGCATATCCATGTTTCTTTTTGGTAGCCCTGCTCTGCAAACTGGATCAGAATTCCAGAGTATATTTTTTAACCTATTACATTTCCATTAGAGAAAAATGTAGGCAGCCTTTTTTGAGTTTTGGTCACTGGTCCTTTTTAACAGGAAAATAGGACTTGGAATGATCAGAGCCTGTCAGCATGAGTTCAAGAAAGAATGTGACATGAGATTGCGTTCTTCTGCTCATCAGTATGAGGTGTTTGTTGTTTGGTTTTTTTTTCCTCCAGAATTATGTTTACAATTGTCTGAATGTGTATCACAGACATCAGCAAGAAAAGTTAGATTGGGCTGGGACTGAATAGGAGTTCATCCAAATCATAGCAGTTGAGGAAAGTGTAGTTCAGCCATTATGGGAAGTAGCAATTCCAGAGAATTTTTCTTTACAAATCTTGTAGTTGTAGCCCAAGACTACAGATGACTATAGAAGTAGGTTGATTTCAGAAAGATCCCACTGATTCTATAACAAGTGGATAGTTGTCTGTTTTGATAAAAACACCGTTAAGAATCAGAGTCTCTGGCAAAATTAAATATGTTAATCAGCATGAAATCAGTAAGAAGTTGCACAAATGAAATGTAAAAGGAAATGCAAATTCTGACTACCTACTATACTCTGGATTCAATTTTTGTACACACATTCTGCAGCACCTTAAGAAAAAAAAAAACAAAAAAACCGTATATTCTGTTTTCTGGAGAGCAAAGGTGTGTTTCTTCAAGACTGTTTACTTCAAGCAGTGACTATGCAAAACCATTTTTAGTGAATCCTTTTTTACTTCTTTGCTTTAGGCTCCAGTTCTCCCTGCTGCACTCTGCTGTTAGATTCTCTCAGGTAAGTTAACAGTTTCAGTGCCTAGGACAGGTAGATGAGCCCTGAGTTAAAAGCAGTTCAGCCAAACTTGTTGCTGGACAATTCTCCATCTGAATTCGAAATATCATCTGCCACTGCTCTTTCTGCTTTCAAATACATTACCTGTTTTGTTTGTTTGTTTGTTTTTCTTCCTAGTACCAATAAATAACTCTTGGAGTGTTTCCTTTATCAACAGAGACACCAGATATTCTTATTATCATGCAACATCAATTGGAACAGGGAGAAGTGTCTGCCTAGACTGCATGACCTAGTCTGCCATCACAATTGATTTTACTGGCTTCTGCATCCAGCAAGACAAAGGCAGGCATGAGGTTAGCACTTCTTCTAGCTGTTTCTGACAGCCAGCCTGAATTCATAGCTGGATTAAGTAGACATAACAGTAGGAATAAGTACAAAGTCAAGCTTAAGCTCAGCTTCAGGAATTATCTTGAATGACTCCAACCAAATAAAAGGAGAGTAAAAAACAGGGAGTAAAAGAAACAGCATGCCACTGGATAGGTCATTCATCATATACCAAGAATTGGTCAGGGCAACTACAGCAGCTGAACCCAACTTACACCTTTAAGTGAAGGAAGGAAAACACCAAGCACAGCAGGATAAGACAGAGCACCAGAGAGGGAACAGTTATTGCCATCCAGAACACAGTTCATTTCTGAAAACTTAGACTTGAAAGCTGAAAAGGAGTTAAACAGATTGCATTCCTACAGTTAAGGTTGAGTTCAGGTACTTAACACACAGAGAAAAAGAAATCGTATTGCAAGAAAAATAAACACTGCATTGCCTTGTATATTCACATCATCCAGGTGCTGTTTAAAACAAAAAAGCATCTTTTTTTTTTTTTTAACCTGAGATTTTCTTGCCAGTTTTCTTTCTTAGCAATGAAAGATCTTGTTTCTGATCTTTTGCAGTTCTAACCCTTGCTTTTCACCCTCAAGCTTCAGCCCCCTAGGCATCATGCAGTAATCACCAAATGTGTTTTCTCCCTTACTGCAGGTCTCACTGGTGGAGAATTTTCTGTCTTACACTTTACGGAGGGTAGTGATCCCAGTAATCAATGGTAAGGATTGTGGCCAGTTCCTGAGCACAGTGGGTGGGAAAGCAAGACTGAAACCATTAAAGAGAGTGCACAGCTTCAAGGGCTGTAATATGAGAGGTTTTCTGTCAGTTTGACTAACCTGGACAGCTGTCTGTGCTGATCCCTCAATCACCTGAATCAGACAAAGGCTGGAACAGAGCAAGTCTCAGCTCCTTTCCAAACAATGTGCGTGAGTTTCCTTCTCAGTGAAAGAAGTGCAGCAGCAGCAGACATGCTTGAGTCTCATCTCAGCAGAGTCAAACCATAACCAGAGAATGGCCTAGACCTGGGAAGCTCAGAAGCACATCTGCATCTTGTGGCTTTGGGAGAGTGTAACATTATCACTGCCCTCTGCATTTATGCTCTGCCTGCTACCCCGGGCAGGACAAGGTAGAAAATCAGCTCAGTGAGATGTAGAGAGTGAGGGATGATGAAGAAAGAGGTGAAAGTGGAAAGAAACATATGGAATAGTATAGAAGGTGCTGTGGGATAAACAAGGGCAAGGAGACTGTTGAGGAAGGAGGTGATATATTGATGAGGAGAAAGGAGGGATACAAAAGTCAAATGGTTGAAAAAGCAAGTAGGACAAAACCTGGGGTTTGACCCAGGAAAGTAGGAATGGATGAAAATTAGAGGGACCCACAGGCTTAGATGACCATATAGAGAATAAAATGAAAGGAAGATGGCAAATAAGTCAGAGTGGGAAACACCAGAAACCACATCCCATGGAGTAGATGTCTGAAAAGGAGCAAAGGCAGATTGCAGTGTCAGACAGCTGAGAAATTTTGAGGGGTCTATCCACTACTTTTTCATGAGAATTGTTGCTTCTTAGCAAATACAAGCATCACAGATACAGTGGTGACTGATTAAAGGGAAATCTTAAAACTCACGGAGTTCCTATGGAAAAATGCTTCTGAAGTATTTTATTATTACTTATAGATATATTTATATTTGTCCTTTTTTAAGATAAATTAGGAAAAGGATTTTCTCTTCCTAACTTGGCCCACACCAGCCTGGTTGGACCTGTAATAAAAATGAATCAGGTGAGAAGTCTCACTTTTAGTTAAATAATATTGATTCTTTTTTAGGTCTGTAAATTTGTGCATATTGCTGTGTTGCATCATTCTAAAGATAACTAATAGTAAAGCTTTAACTATACAGTAGATTGAAAATCCACACTCTGGATGAAAAATGTACACACACACACACCCCACCAGACCAGAATGCTTTGAGCATTTGTAGATTATAAAGGGTCCTCTAGCATTTGGGGGAATCCCAGCAAAGTGGAAACACCACAGAGACAGCTGTGCTATCTCCAGCAGGTCTTAGGAGCATCAAATGAGCTCTCACTAATGTGACCTTTCCATAGTACTGGAAAGCTAAGATGCAACCTCAGTGTCCTTGTGGTTAGCATTACCCAGCATTCTGGAGGGCTGTAACATCAGAGCCTACCCGTACCCTGAAGTCAACTGAATTTCAGGAAGCACAAAGCCATGCTTGTTTCCTGCACTGCTGAGGGACTAATTATCAAATCTACTAACCCTCAATATGTCCATCTGAAATTTGAAGTAATTTTACATGTTCTTGTTTCCTCAGGGTCATCTTGTGATTTGCACTGATGTTCACTACAAACATGAGCAAGGGGAAGATGAGGACCTTCGCAGACACCCCTAATGCCCCTTTTCTTTCAAACAATAATAGAGAAAAAAGAGGTCTTCCTTCTTTTGGCTTGTGCGGAGTAGATGCTATAACATTAGAAGCATGGACCTTGGTCACTATTTTTGATGTTTCTTTGCTTTTCATAAACCAAATCCGTTGTTTTTTTAGCATAATGGGTATAGCTGACTTTTATGGATGCCTTAGAATACTTGTTTTAATCTGATGGGAAGGAGTGACTGGGTCTTCTTGTGTTATAAACACCAAGTTTTATTAATTTCAGAAACCAGTTATTGCATTATTCAACTTATCTCCATTAGTGTTAGCAAGATTTTATGTGCAGATCTTATTTTTATCTTATGTGAGATCTTATTTTTTGTAATATTTTCAAAGTTTGTCCGTTTGTAACTGGATACCATAAGTGGGAACAGATTTATGAAATCTAGTGAATTATCATAGAATTATAGAATCAAAATGTATGTTGAAGTAACCTCCAAAGGCCATCTAGTCCAGAGATCACCTAAGAACAGGACTAACTAGATCATGTTGCTGCAGACTGTGTCCATGTGAGTTTTGAACCTCTCCAAGGCCAGAGACTCCACAACCTTTCTGGGCAACATTTTCTGCTATTTAACCTGCTTCAGAGTAAATTTATTTTCTTGATATCGAATCAGAATTTCCTATGTTTCAACTTGTGTCCATTGCCTTTTTTCTATGCAGTGTTCACTTTCAAGAAGAGCCCAGCTCCATCTTCTCTGTATCCTCAGATCACAAAGTTGTAGAAAAGAAAAATGTCTCTGCAGACTCTCTCTTTTCCAAGCTAAGCATACTTGATCTCTCATATTGTCCTAGTAGATCATGTTCTCCAGCCTCATAACTATTTTCATGATACCTGCTGGATTTGATCCAGGATGTCAATAACATTCTTCTAGTGGGGAGCCCAAATTGGACACAGTAGTTCAAACAGTGTTGCAAGTGCCAAATAGAAAGGAAGAAACACTTACCTTTACCTGCAGCTTACCTTCAACCTTGCTGTCCACTAAGATTCACAAATCCTTTTCTGCATAGCTTGCTTCTAAAGATCCCCTACCCTGGACTGATCAGGGCATTACTCCCTCCCACACGTGAGGAGTGCATTGACTGCTCCTCACAGGTTGGTGTTGTGTACAAACTTGCCAAGAGTGCACACTGTCCCATCATCCACACCATCAGTGAAGGAATTAAGCAGTGCTGATCACAATATTGATTCCTATGGGACACCCACTAGTTGCCAGTCAACACCTTGACTTTGTTAATCACAACTCTGATTCTGGCTACACAGCCAATTTTCCATGTTCCTTCTCCACCCTATAAATCACCAGTTTGATGAGACTAATAGAGACTGTTTCGAAAACCTTACTGAAATCAGAGTATACCATATCCACTGCCCTTCCCTTGTCCACAGCACCAGACAGCTGATCATAGAAAGCAGCGAAGCTGGCCAGGTGTGATCTGCCTCTGGAATACCCATTCTGGCTGCTCCCAATTACATTATCCTTCATGTGCTTTAGAAATGGCTTCTAAGATATTTTACTCCATATCCATCCCAGGGTCTGAGGTGAGACTGACCGTCTTGTATTTCCCTTCTTGTCTTGTATCATTCTCCTTGCCTATCTTGAAAGCAGGTGTGATGTCTGCCTTTTTTCCAGTCATGAGGAACTTCTGACTGCCATGACTTTGATGGAGAGCAGCTTATTTCTGTGATCAGTCAGCCAGCACCTTTGGGTGCTTCCTGTCTGGTCCCATAGATTTGTGTACATCCATGTGGGTTAAGTGATCCTAAACACTGCCTTTCTCTGCTGTGGGTTATGCCTCATTCCCACAGGCTGTGCAAGGAGCTCAAGGACTTGATGACAGATCTTACTAGTGAAGACATCTTTTTCTGCATCTCTTGTCACAAGTCCCTGGCCTCCTGAGCAATGGAGCAGCACTCTCCTTAAACTTTCTTTTGCTATAGATGTATTTACAGAGCCCTTCACCTCCCATGATTGTTTCAGCTCCAAATGAGTTTTGGCTTTCCTGACTTCATTTCTGCATGTGCAAGCAACGTCTTTGCACTCCTTTCAAGTAGCTGGTCCCAGTTTCCATCTTCTGTATGCTTCCTTTTCGTGTCTGAGCTCACTCAAGAGCTCTGTGTTCATCTACTCTGGCCTTCTGCCACGGTTGCTCAACCGTCTGAACATTGTTCTTGTGCTCTGAGGAGGTTGTCCTTGAAGATTAGCCAGCTCTGGGCCTTTGCTCTGCAGGGTATTTTCCCACAGATCTTGCCAAGCAGGCTCCTGAAATCTTCACATCTGAAGTCTACAGCTGTAATTCTGTTTTTTGTCTTGCTCACTCCTCTCAAGATCTGAAACTCCACAGTCTTGTGCTCGCTGCAACTAAGACTGTGCTGTCATTGATTGCCATCCCACAGTTTTTCCTTGTTTGTGAGTAGCTGCAGCTCTTTGAGGGGATCAGGCTCCATGTAATTCTTTAGTTCTATAACTCTCAAATTTCTGGAACTGTAGAGCTTATTTTTCCCTATGTCATTGTCACCACAGAGGAATTACTGAAAGTGCATGAAAAAGGAAAAATGTCTACAAATGTTATACTACAGAAAGGTTCTGTTCCAGCTTGGGACAGAAATGTGGCTTGGGATTGATTTTTTTCTGAATCCATATATGCTGGTGCTCTTTTTCTTAATTAAAAAAAATCATCCTGAAACCAAAGAGAAGTAAATCACTGCAGGGCTTTCAACTCATTGTATTGTATGTGGGAGAAGAGTGACTAGAAGAAAAACAGAAGAACTGAAGAAAACTCTTTTAAATAGTTTGATGTCCCTCATTGATAATACTCCTGGCACTTCTTTCTGCCTATTTGGGGATTCATGAGATAGGGGGGAAAGAGAACAAAAGCCCTGCTGCCCATCTCTTCTCTCTTCCAATGTGACATGTGCTTCAGTACCAGCCAACAAGTGCCATGGCTGGATGGGGCTTTCCAAACCAAAGCCATGCCTTAGTGTAATGTTGCTCCTGAAGCCCTAGTCCTGAGACTGTTGTTAACAAAGTGATAAAGCAATTGTTTCTTTGATGACTAAAGAGGATGCTGTATGTGCTAACTGTTCCCCTCTATCATCTTATTCTTGCCTACTGTCCAAAATACCATTTTTGATCTGGTATTACTTCTTAACTGACAGAATAACTGATACCTGTGCCTCAGCATGCTGAAGACTAAAGAGTGTGGAGAAAGGAGAGAATTAGGGAAGCAGGGAAAGGGGACTGCTGGAGCACCAAGCTACAGGCAATGGCTGGCATTGTACAAACCAAAGTGATCTGCAGAGAAACAGCAACAAGTCTTCACTGCTATACTGATAAGTTCATTTTGTTTCACGTATACTGGCTAAAAAGGATTGCAATCTGTATCCCCATTAGCATTTAGATTGAAGCAAATGTTTTGTTGCTCTATAAGAAAATTAAAACATTCCTTTTAGAAGATCTTTCTAGTATCTTGAAAGGCATAAAGTTAGAAAGTAGAAACAAATTGCAGAGTATGTTAGTATACTATCTGAACATATCTGTAAGCAGATATTTGGCTTTTAGTGGGATATTTGTAGAAAAAAAAATGATGAAACTATTCTGGAAGTACTATTTTTTTCTTTTCTAACTTTTGCTGAAAGTTTTATCTAAACTAGTGATACTCCTTTAGAAGAACCGTAAAATGTTAGAGGGCTGTCATGAGCATAAGCTGCGATAGTTTTTGGACAGTTTTAAGTTGTCTGTAGATCTTGGAGTTTTACATGGATGGAGACAATGGCACGTGTCCCTTGTTCTGAAGGAACAGCAGAACATGTGCAAAGAAAGTGTAAGGAGAGGTTTACATACATGAGGATGTGATTTTTATTCATCTTCAGTAGCCAGAGGTACAAATAGTGGAATGGTTATGCACGTGACTACCTTTGGTGAGTGTTAGATCTGTATATGGCATGAGTATTTGTTGTCTGACAAATGTTTTTACCCTTTTCTATTTGTGACTGCACAATGAAGTGACTCAGATCGTCCAGCTAAGTGCTCCATGCCTGAGGGAATACACACAAGCTAGTTGATTAAATCACCTCTTTCAAAAGCCAGGCAGTACTGGTCAGCTGAAGGGCAGGCAAGCAGAAGAAAGAGAAAATACTGACTGAAAGTACTTGGCACTATATATTGACACTACATTAGTATATATATACAATAGTTTAAACACTACATAATTTATTATTTTCTATATTTTGACCATTTCTAGAACAGATGGGCCTAGACAGTTGTTTTTCATCTGTTCTTCCTAGCAGCTACACATTTCTTTCCTTCTTTCACAGTACACATTTGGTTATGAATGTTAGTCCCGTGGAACTACTGGAATATATTCTCCACTGGGGTATCTTGTCAGATCCATCTGAAAAGCCAGTGCAGAAACAGCATGCCACAAATGCAGCAACCACTGTGAGCTCAGCATCCCAGTGCCTGGGGTCCTTCACTACAGTTTACACTGCCCTCTGCTTTGTCCCTAAATTAAATTAGAGTGATAGTTTTAACCTATGACACTCAAAATAGCTCAAGACATGGTTATCTGAGAGGCCACTCCCTGTGTGATACTGCTGAAGGTGGCAGCAATTGGCTGTATTCAAGCTCTCAGCTCCTTCCTTTAAAAGACAGGGTCGTGGCTGCAGAGGGTTTTCTTGCAGCGTTCTCAACCCTGTGGTCTGATACAGCAAGACTCCTCTTTTCAGCCTTCAGAGAAGAGGTATGGTAACAATACTTTGTGACTGTTCTTTGCTGTGGAGGCTTTTGTTGGGAAGGGATAGATGTAGATAAATCTGGCAAGATATGGTGATTTTAAATTATGAGAACTGTGCCTGCATAGAAAACACATTTCTTTGCAGCATTTTGTTTTAGTCGTGCACGAGAAAGATATGTTTCATTTTCCTCCCAGTTTCTGACAGTGAAAATTAAAAAGAAAATACTGGTCTTGCCAAAAGGCAAAGGTGTTCTGTGGGATTATTTAAAACTTTACTGCAAAATTAAGCTAATGTAATATCATAATTTTGCAGCTTGCTTAAATTGTGATCATGACTGAAATTCTTCAGTTTTGAGATATATTATTATCTCTAATAGGTGATGAAATAGGTAGTGAAAGATAGAGCAACATCTAACAATTTTTCAGGTGTTAGGAGAGAGTGCAGTCTTCTTCTAGCAGATGGTTTAATCTCAGCTCTGCAATAGCCCTCTGGTAACTAAACGGTTTCTTTACATAAAAGTAGAGCTAGGAAAGACATGCTACTATTTTCAGCTGTCCATAATGTGGCATAGTAGCAGGGAATAAGGAAAGTCATCGCAATATGACCCATGTATCACTCATGTTTTGTACTTCAGACAACAAATGACTCCACAGAGAACTCTTCCTAGATCTAGGAAAAAAACAAATATTTCCTGGTTTTGCTTATTAATCTTCCATCAAGGTGGCTTCTCCCACTCTCCCTGGAGACCTGCTGGCAGCAATAGATTCTGGCTATCACACAACATGCAGCTTGGGGTTCATGCAGCATAGCTCCATCTGAATTTAAACCCAGTCATAGAAGCCCCTGGAATGGGAGTTTGTTTTACTTGTTCACTGCCCTGCAGTAATTCACTTAACCAGGGGTTAAGTACATAACTAGTACAAGTTCAGGTTACCTATCTGAACCTCCTCAGAGGTAGACTTTGAATCCTGTAGCCACAGGAGGTTTATAAGCACTCCCCACAGAGCAATTTGTTTTAAGACAGGTGGGCTATGTCCCTCTTCACTATAAATATGGCTGTTGTAAACGAGAGACCTAACTTTTGAATGGTTGTAATTAAATAAGACCAGTCGTACCCAAGTATAAAGGGGAAAGACAACAAGTGAATAGTATATGATGACTTGTACATCACTGTCCCCAGCTGTAAGTATCTCCTTAACATTTTCTGAGAGGAGATAATGGAAGAATAGATAGAGTCTATTGCTGATTACCCCAAACATGGGGAAACAAGTGACAGCCACTAATATGTAAATCATTATTAAAAGCATTTATTTTGCTGTTATTAATTTGGTTATATAGTACTTTCAGCACTGATGTCCCTCTCTGTGAATGAAGAAACTAACTAGAGTGCTTTGGACAAAAGGCTGGAAGCCTCAGATGCACCTAAGTGATGACATATGTAGGCACAACAAGAAGAAAAAGGGAGAAAATATGATAAAATATATGATAAAACATGATAAAATACCCACCTTTAGGGATGTTCAAAATAGCCAGTTTGAGAAGCTTGGTCATGATGCTCAACCTTACTAAAAAAGAAATGGTGAAGTAACTAAAATGACAGATAAAGTAGAAATGGTCCATTTGTTTCAACACTTTACTAGTTTCCCACAAGGTACTAAAAGAGTCCTGTGGAAGATAAGGCAAGAGAGTTGTGTAACAGGAATGAAAAGCACAATTCTACTACCGTTTCAAATATTTCTTAACAGGTCCTTTAAAAAACAAAGATGATGGTGAAGATTTGCTGTTCTCTCCTCCTGTTAAGTTTACTCAGTGTGCAGCTAAAAGCTAACCCTGGACTCAAAGTGAGAATCACTCAGAAGGCCTTGGATTATGGTAGGTGTGCTGAAGCATGTGGTGATATTGCACTGAATCCTGATATGACAGACATCTTCAGTAGTGAGGGCAGTGGGAGGAAATGAGCTAGTCAAAGGCTATAGAGAAAAGGAATGGTTAAAAGCACAATAATTCATTCACATCCATCCCGTTAGCAGGCAGTGTTTTAAAATCTGCTAACGTGGAAGCACATAAATATAAACCCACTGTCAGTATCAAAGGCAACTGAACCAGTCTTTCTCTTCCTGCAGCTAAGAAGGTTGGGCTAGAGATCCTGAAGAAGAATATGGAGAAGGAGCAATTCCCTGATTTGACTGGCTATGAGAGATTTGGGCTTGGTAATGTCAACTATAACATCTCAAGGTAAGTAACAATCCTAGAAAAATAGTTCTGGTAATATGTTATATTTAGCTCTGTGCATGGATTATAATGGGAATGTTGTTGTGTTTTACAGTAATTGTTGCTTAAAGGAGGACACGTGTGGCTTACATCCAAAGCCTGATGAAGTCAAAGCAAAAACTCTCTCGATTAACCTCTGTTTGGATAAAGTTATCTAATCTAATTTAGGCAGCTAAGCCCTTGTTTTGATCAGTGGAGAAAGATTTACACACCCAGAAGGCAGTTACACCTATGACTTAGACACCTATTTTAGAATGAGTTTAAACATCCTCTTTAGGTGTCAGTGTTTCTCCACTGATCACAGGGGGAGCCCAGAGGAGCAGCTTTCCAGCTTCCAGGTGGCTGGAGCAGACCAAAGTGGAAGCTAGATCAGAATTAGCTGCAGACCATGAGTACATGTGTGAGAATGGATTTTAAAATGCTGCACAATGTAACATAGCTCCTGGCCCTGGTAACTATCCCCACTGATTTGGTCACTGGAGTTGGAGACTCCCTGGAACAGCTGCTGAATGAAAGGACATTTTCACTTTATTCTGCTTGTTACAGTTGCCCTTGCTAAAAACATCAGGACTTCCACCTGAATAAATTATCCCACTGCGTAGTATGATTCTGAATGCAAGTACACATACTATGTAGCAGACAGATATTAAGTCCTTCTAAGGCAGCCAGCCTTATGATGCACAAATCATGCAGAAAAATTACATGTTTTGAAATACTAAAAGGGACAAAATGGCAAGATATGTGGGGTCTCCATGCATTAACACACAGGTCAATGTTTAGATATAACACTTTTAGGTGTTTAGTTTGCAGTGTTATTTAAGTTCATTAGGTGCAATATTGGTTGCTCAGCACTTGATGAGTATGCCTTAATGACTTATTTGTGCGATGTAAATGTAAAACTAAATGATACCATAAGAGTGGAGTAGCAGTTATTGTAGCCTGAAAAAAGGACAAATCAAGTAACATTTGAGGTTACCTGAAATACTCATTTTTATTTTTATTTTTATTTTTTTTCCCTTATCTTTCTCATGCTCTAGAATAAGAGTCACTGCTGTTGAATTCCCCAACGTTTCCATCTCCCTCATACCCAGGAGTGGGATAAAACTGGTGATTAGAAATGCTTCACTCACCATCGATATGAACTGGAGTATGAGGACCTGGATGTTGTACGTGTAGCCTCATGTGTTCTGGGATTTTTCTTGATGAAGAATATAAAAAAGCAAAGATTAGTTTGTCCTGTGAGCTCTTCATGGCAAAGGTGCTCTTTAACAGCTCAGAGCAGAAATCCAATAACAGTCTGGTTCTCATCGACAGGAGGGGTAGTAGGTCTACCTACAACATAGCTCAAGCAAAGGCATGAGCTTCAGTGCAGCTCACAAATAAAGGGTAGAAACCCTCACTGAGGCTTTTCACAGCTCCTTCTCATAACCAGGCTATGAACAGTTTGATCAAAAATACCACAGCTTCATCACATTGAAGCTGGTCTTGAGCACGGGCTGCCAAACCCCTGGGATGGTGGTGGGGAGGAGGGCACTCCAGGCCCTGAAATAGGTTTGCCCTTTAACAGACATAATCCAGTTGCCTATGCTGTGGGCATGTCTTGTAACTATACACAAACTACATTAGAACAGTGAGTTACCTGTTTTTCCTAATTCAGCATGTTTCGAAACTCCTAGCATGAAAATTTATGTCGAATACATGATTGTTTTCTCTATGAGCAATACATTGAAAAGTATTCAGATAAACTTCTTCATCTTCAGTGAACAGCAAGAGTCCGTTTAAGCCTTAGAGAGCCTTTAACGTTCACTAAAACAGGTTTTCCAGTTGTTTATTTACTTTTATTTCATGCAGCAAAGACGGTGGAAGAAGCACAGTGCACATTTCCAAGGTGTTTGTTACTGCAACCTTTTCAACACCCCTGGATAGTATGGGTCATACTTCAATATCACTTAACAGCTGTCATACGACTTCTGGTGATACAGACATCAAGTTGAATGGAAAAAGTGGGTAAGTGCAAGAGATCTATGTACATGCTGGGAGAAAATAAATGTCAGTGAATGGCACAAAGACAACTTCACAAAATAGGACAACTAGAATTGCTTTTAGGTGTCTATAAACAACACAGGTGAGAATCAGGGCCCTAATCTAGTGCTCAGGTGGCAAAGTTTAACCTCTGTTCTTGTCTTTGTGCACTGTTATTTGAGTAGAGAATAAATACATCAACTTCTGTCAAATCAAATATTCCCATGTGCTTCTTCAACACAGAATTCTTTCCAAATACAGCTCTAATCTTCAACTCTAGTTAGAAACTACATGCTTATACTATGCTTTATGTACTTTAGATCAGAAAGCTATAAAAACTTAAAAGAACCAGACTGCTGTCTGTCGTTCCTCTGGATATAAACCTGTGCAGTGTGATTTCATTGTTTTCTTGTATTTCTCTCACTGTCTGAATATAGCTCTTTGTCACCTGGCTTTGTTTTTCTGTTTGGTTGGGATTTTTTTTTACTTGCATTGGAAGTTCCTACTGCACAGACCATTTATTTTGTGTTTATACATACACGATGGTGCTAATATAAACAAATTGTTATTCATAAAGATGAGCCCAATCTAATCACTGGGTAAAATTACCTCCTTCTCAGTGGTAGCTCCTTGATAGCTCTTGAATTTCAGAAAGCTCCCATGTGTACTGGTGTATCACACTTAGAGACCATTGAAGTCATGTTCCACAGAGATATCTGATTTCCTGTTAATGACTGTAGTACTTGACCCATGAATTGTTTTTTTCTTTTCCTGTAGCTTCCTGCATGATTTCTTTATCAAATATTTGAAGAAACCCATTCACAGGAACTTGGCCACTAATGTAAGCCTTTCAGATTGTGTAGGGGAGCGTTTAAGGAATATCATTTTCAGATGTCAGCGCTGGGAACTTGGCAAAGGGTGAACTAGAAAAATTATAGTTTGGTTCTGGCCTGATCAGCACAGTTATTGCTTTGCCAGACAGAGAAACTTCCAAATAAAATGTTGAGTTTGTGGCTGAGATATTAACTGATCCAGAGATAGATGAGTTTCAACCAGAGCCAGAATGTGCAGTTATTTTCCCATTCCAGTGCAGAACAGGACTGTGCCTGTGTACCTACAGACATCCTGGTTGTCGGGTAATGTTCATACCCAGCAGGTAGAACACGTACTGTGTGACACACAGATCTCACGATACACCACTGGATAGTATGACTTATTTAAACCTCATGGTTTCAAAGAGGTGAGCAGTTGTGACAACATCCTGCCTATCTCTTCTAAGAAGGTAGAGCTTGAGGTGGGTGGATTCTGCTCCAGGACAGGGATCTGCTCCGAGACCAATGTGAGAGCTCCTTCCACACTTCTTAAACTGTGGATTTGTCCCCCCCATCAGGCTGCCTTTAACAATTTCCCACTTCATTGCCTAAAGGCAACTCTGACACAGGACATGCTTGCATTGCACAGAATAGATAACCATAGAGTCATAGAATCATTTAGGTTGGAAAAGACCACTAGGATCCTCTAGTCCAACCAAATAAGATGCAGCGAGGAGCTTTATTATTGGAGTTCTCTTTAAAGTGACTGGAGAAAGACATGTTCATTTAGAAGCAGATTTGTAGTGCATTGAATCACCTCCTGGACCTGATAGCTGGAGAAAAACAACCTTAGGTATTTTGATAATTGCTGAAATTATAACATAAGGAGACAGATTTGATAGCACACAGGTAAGGGGTGTATACAGTTCCATGATAATCATGCTGCAACTTGAGTATGCTTTTATGCAGTCTTGTCCCAACATCAGATCTGGGATCCAGTTGATAGCTAAGGACCTCCAGTCACTGAATGGTGAGTTACCTGTGATATCTTTTCTTTCTGCCTCTGATCTTCTGTCCAATGAAATTCTCTAGTTTCCTTAACAGCAGCTGGATAGCAAAGCCTCCAGGAGCTGTATCAGACCCCACATTCTGTCTGCTCCTTTACTTAGAAGACCACAGGTAAATAAAAGAAATGATACTTGCACAAGAAAAGGACATTTCTGAAAAGCCAAGGACTTGGGAACTATTCTTAAGTTGCACTTTTGATGTTAGGAATGCAAATTAGAGATCGTACAGCATTTATTATCAGTGCTATGTAGCCTCTAAGGACTCTTATGCTCTGAGTCCTCCTGCACAAATAGCACTTTACAATCTGAAGCCTGCCCTCTTAACCTGCCTGGAAATTTAGGCCTTACTTGCATATTTATCAAACTTCCCAAAAGCAGAAGAAGAAAGCTACAAGTTCCTTTTAAGTATATTTTTTTAAAAGAAAAGAAAGAAAAATATTTTCTTATGTTATTTTAGTTTAGATTTGCAGGAAGCAAACAAATTGTTGAGCAGACACAATCTGCAAAACACAAATGCCTAAACAGACCAGGTAACCACCTTTTTCTGGGGAAATATTTGCAAATCAGAGGTACTTCAGATGCTCTCATGCTGCTTAACAAGAAAACCCATTACAGCTATGGTCATTTCCTTTTTCATTTGGTTAAACAAAATTTACTTTTCCACACTGAGAAAACATTAGACAAGCTAAAAAAGATGCTTTGAAGAACATAAAATGTCAAGCCTTAGATCAGAATATGTGTTAGGATGTCACAGGTTGTTTTTTCCTACCCTTTGGAACACGTGTCATTTTCCTTCAGGTGCTGACTTAGTTTTAATGCACATAAAATTCACTCTGTGGTTGTATAATATTGAGTATTTTGCTTTGTTTACCATATATACAGTCCCAGTGCGGGTTGATGATTTGGCTGAAATTGATTACTCCTTAAACAGCTTGGAAGTATTCCGACCATACATTGACATGGACTTAAAGGTAAATGCTGTAGTGTTATTTGCCAGGATTGCAAGAGGCAACAGAAAAATGAGTATTTGGTATGCAAGTCTTGGGTAAAGTCACTAATAGTGCAAAAGATAACACGAGTGATTTTAGGATTGTCTGAGCTAACTTTTTCTCTTGTGCATTCTTTCATCTGCACACATTACTTGTTGATTTTGACCTTTGTCATTTTAAAGATCCATCTTGTAAATGAGACCATTGGCTGGCTCGGGGCAACTGTTTTCAAACCTAAATTCTTGGAAATGGGGAAAGGAGATAGTAAAGCTTTTCAATAAGGAGGTCATTCAATACCTTCATTTGGTTTTCTGAGGTGGTAGACTGTCTTCAGTAAGTGATCAGCCTCTGAAAAGAAAAGTCTCAAGTGTCATCTGTGAAGGTGTCCAGTCTCTGGAATTTGTCTTCACCACCTGCTTGAAAGCACCGGAGCTCCAGGGTGTAATACAAGTCCTATGCACTTACTTACACAACAAATGCGTAGCTTAAGCAAAGGGGGAAAAAGTCTGCAGTCACTTCAAAGTCATGTTTTGATTCTGACTTTTTGTATTAAATCTCTGAATATACATTTCAGGGGATAGTCCATCCAGCTGGAAATTATACCGGCCCTCCCTATGTGGCAGCTCCCTTTGCTATCCCGGACCAAAGTGACTCCATGCTCTACCTTGCCTTCTCTGAGTATTTCTTTCAGACATCTTTATTTTCTTACTACACAGCAGGAGCCTTCAACATCACCATTGCAAAGGAAGTAAGTAGGACACAGGAATGGGATCAGAGTGGCTCGGTCATTCAGTGTGGAGCTTTGACCTGCCAATTGTCAGTATGCAATAGATTCACTGCTAATTGGGCTGTGAAGTCCTGAGACAGTAGAGCACTAACACTACGGTATTGCAATGCTCTTGTTTTATGTTCTGTACAGATTCCTCAGTCCACAGCAAGAGATGTCTAGTTCCACTGAGTAAAGTACTTAGCCACATAAAAGAAATTTTTTGCAGACCTGTGGGATAGTCAAGAGATGGTCACATAACTTATTCTGGGCAATTTAGCTGCCTTAGTGGCTTTTTCCTGAGGGGTCTTTACAGAGTAAAAATGCTACAGGGGCCATGGAAGCAAAGCATAAGACAAAACAGCTGTGGCTTGGAGCTACGCAAACTTGGATATGTAGTCTACAGGAGGGTCATTAAGTCCCCAGACCTATAGACTGCAACCAAAACTAAGATAGAATGAAGCATTTGCTTTCCCAGGAAGTACCTTGACCTGAGTTATTGGGAATAAGCTTTAAGTATAGCGTCTCTTAAGAATATTTCTGAGAACAAAAGGTACAAAACCAAAGATCCATTGAAATGACAGTAATAATGCATTAAAGAAAAGCTGAGAATGCTGGTCAAACCTGGTAAACTGATTTCTTTTATCTTTATTTTTCCCCCCAGACTTGCAGATATTTAAATATAAGCACTGAGATGTTTGGTAGTATCATCCCTGAGGTGAGTATCATTACTTTCACAAACTGTTAGAGAACTGCCCAGTGTGAGTGTCAGACACCTCAATACTGGTGTGTCACAAAGGCTTTGTAGGTGCAGTGAGGATCCTGCTCTGGAGAAATGGGTATATGCATGCATGGTAGCAGCAGAGGAGATGGACCTTGTCACCTCCCATCCCCACAACTGAATGACTGCCATTATCAAATTTGGCCATAATCTTGTGCATCAATCTTTACTCCAGGCACAGCTTACAGCTGTTCCCACATCAAACTAGTCCTAGGCAGGGAAAAGCTCCCAGTCTGAGTCCTGATCTGGGAGACCTCTGCCAGAGCCTCCAGTCAGAAATAACTTATTTCTCCTGCCCATATGTGCATAATTGCCTTTGTTTCACTGCTAGCCTGTGACTGACAAGCAGAATGCAATACAGTAAAGACCTGGGAAGGGACTGTAGTGCCCACGTGCAGTAAAGTGAGCTAATAGACAGGCAGAAACATTACATCAATTGAAAAGAGAAGGCAGATGTACAGGATTTCCATTTATTTTAGGAAGAGGAGAAGAATATAACAGAAGAGATATAAGAGATATAAGCATGCATGGCTTCTACCAGCATTATCAAACAGAATGAGAAACCAAAATGAGCATAAGAGACCCCAGCCCTTGAAAGCCTAGGATAGATAATTTTGGATTCGCGCTTCTAAGAATCACAGAATCATTAAGATTGGAAAAAACCACTAAGATCACCTGGTCCAACCACCAGCTTATCCCCATGATACCCACTAACCACGTCCCTCAGTGCCACGTCTACATGGTTCTGGAGCACCTCCAGGGACAGTGACTCCACCACCCCCCTGGACAGCCTGTGCCACTGCAGCACCGCTCTTTCTGAGAAGAATTTTTTCTTAACAGGCAACTTTAAGAACTTCATGTATTTGCCTGCTTCCTGTATGATACTAGGTTCCCTCCTTAGAAATCTAAGATTGCTTCAAGAGCAATTTTCATATGATCTTCTTAATAAAATGCCATGAGCATTTACACTAATATTCCACCTCTCTATTCTAATTAATGAACTTGTGAACCTATGCACTCTTTAGGCAATGGAGAGTCTGAGGCTCCTCAGAGGACAGTCCACAGCAGGTACCTGTCTTATGAGCTGGATTAATCTCAAAGTGAATGACCTCTGAGTTCCTTTATTGTTACTTAAATGTCATATTTTGTTCCATTCCTTTCCTGTGTTCACAGACTAATATTTAATTTCTCTAAAAGTGATACAAAGGAAATAATATTTCTAGGGTGGAGAGAATTTACCATTGCATTCCTGATTTAGCCAAGATTGGATTTATCACCACTGAAAATTTCTATTTCCAGCTTGTATTAAAGAATTTTATGTTAGCAGCTGTTCTTAACCTCATCTTAAACAACCAATAGCTTTGAGAAAGAGAAAATGTAGTATTCTGACCTATTCTACAAGAAGAGCATTTCTCTGACTTTTTTGATTTTGTCTTGGAATCATGCAGATAGCCAAACACTCAATTATACTGTATCCAGTTATGATGAAGCTAATGGCCACTGAAATACCTCTCGTCAGCTTGCAGCAGGATTCTTTTACTCTAGAGATTCAGGAATCCATGGAGGTGTTTGCTGTTCTGCCAGACTCAACCACTCAGTCATTGTTCACAGTGAATGTAGTAAGTACAATAAACAAGGGAACATTTAACTCAGGACTAAATATACTTGTTCTTTCCTGCTGTTACAGTCCTCTACAACAAGGTACTGTATTTTTAGCATGTATTTAAACATGCAAGTTCCCCTTAGTCACTGGTGATGCTGTGTGGCCCCACTTAACCTACAGGAAGGGAACGAAATTTTTCTATGGGGAAGAAATTTTTCCTGTAGATAAATGAGAATCCAAATAAATTGACACTGATTAATCAAAGATTTGTTCTCTGGAATGACTTTTGTAAGTCATTCCCATTGTCATGTCCCATGACATCTTGTTCTTCTAACTGAAAATGGTCTTGATTAGTGAAATCTCATTATCCACATTTCACATCACCATGGAGAAACCCCACATACACAAAACAGCTCCTATATACAGCCAGGAAGACAGTGCTTCTGCATTTGTGACTAATTCTCAGCAGGGGTTCTGTTTTCTGTGTCTGTAAACCCATGGTTTCTTTCTTCTGCAGGCAGCCAACACCAGCATTGCTCTGAATGTCTTTGACCAGAAACTCACTGGCTCGCTATGTCTGAACAGGTAATTCAACAAGGTTGCACTGAGCCTGGCTGGAAAACAACACTAGCAATCTCAGCATTGCAGTTTTTACATGTGATCAGCTAACCATAATTTACTCTATCCTCTGAGCTAGGTATGCAGGGCAGTTATAATGATCGTGAATAATTTGAGAGCTTCCCTCATTCCTTTCCAATTAGTTAAGATACATCCGCTTTCTAGTCTGCCTGTGCAGGGGTCCAGGACACAGAAAAGAACATGGGATCCTGCAGTTTTCCCTATGTTGAGATAGGGAGAGATGCCCCAAGAGAAGCACTGCAATGTCTAGACTTCAGAAAGCCAAAGCAGAGAGACTTGGACATTTAAAAATCTACAGTGTTACATTTTATAGAGAGAGGCTCTGTAAACCACAACATTATAGCTGGGAACTGGAACACTTACTTCACAAAAGACTCCTTGGGAACAAAAAGAATATGCAGATTCTTTCAGGACACAGCAATGTTAGGAATGTAAAGAGGATAGTGTCAATAGTATTTGGGAATTTTTTTTTTCCAGCAAAATTAAGAGAAAAAAATCTGAAGCATGCAAGTAATTGGATACTTGAATATGTATGGAAAAGTATAAGTATTTGAAGTTGGAAGCATTGACATGAACAGCACAGCCATCAGCAGCACTACCATACTGTGAACAGTCATTCATCCCACCCCTAGAAAGGCTCACATCAAAGTATTACTTATGTACCAAATCCTTGCAAATGTTCTGAGAGCATGCACATCCATAATGCTGGCCCTAGTAACATCAAATACCAATTGGATTTCCAAGACATAGCACAGAAGAAGTGCACTCACATCTCTGGCTACAGCCCTTCTAGGATTTTTCTGCATGTATGCTTAGCTATGCCCCAAGAGAATCACATCTTTCTCAAGTAAAAGATATTGCTTCAAGAATCTCCTTACAGATGTTTTATAAGGCCTAGAGCTTTGAAACAGTGACTATACATCTAGAATAATATCTGTTTGTACTTTCTAGTGACTCATCTCATTTCACTTCTTTCCCTCAGGCTCCAGTTCTCCCTTGCCCATTCCAATGTTGGCTCTTTCGAGGTAAGCAGACAGTTTAAACACATAGGAAATACAAACCAGGACTATCAATGATATCAAGGCTAAAGTGTAAGCAACTAAATTTTATCAGTATTCCTAAATCATTTGGCTTCATTCCTGGATGTCTCTTTTCCTGTCTTCTGGCAGGCACCACTCTGCTGTTGATTGGAAAAAAAAAAAAAAAAAAAAGTTTATTCTTTGAGGCAAGTCAGTGTTCTGAAAATTAAATATTCTGAAGTTTTCCTGACTAATGTATCATATTTTACCAGTAATAGAGAGATGTCTCAAATCACAGCCATGGAATCTGCACACAGCAGCAATCTGAACTCTGTCAGTAGGTGGAGCAGTGTGCTGCAGTCTGAGCAATCACATGTATGACTGAGCCATTTGCATTTTGCATCTCACTTCTTCTGCATCATTTCAAAGACTTAAGATCCAAAGGTTACTTTAGCTTATGGCTCTCTGGAGCTAAATGAAAGCCAAAAGCTGAATGGAAGCCTCCAGACCTCGCCCAGAATGTGGGAATGATGATTCTGCCACTATTAGAAAGTGATGGCTAACTCAGTTTTTTTGTTTATGACAGATCTCATTTCTGGAGAACATCCTGTCTTATATTTTACAAACTGAAGTAATTCCATCAGCCAATGGTAAGGCTATAACACCAACCTGTATCATGTGGTTGAAACACCTGAGGGATGGGATGCCATTCAGAGAAATCCAGACAGGCTCAAACAGTGGGGAAACATGAGGAGAACCTCATGAGGTTCAGCAAACCCAAGTGTGAGGTCTTTCACTTGGGTCGTGGCATCCCCTACTATCAGTATGAGCTGGGAGATGAAAGGATGGAGCACAGCCTTGCTGAAAAAGACTTGGAGGTACTGGTGCATAACAGCTGGACATGAGCAAGCAGTGTGCCCTCACAGCCCAGAAAGCCAACTGTGTCCGGGCCTGCATCCAAAGCAGCATGGCCAGCAGGGCAAGGGAGGTGATCCTGCCTCTCTGCTCTGTACTGGTGAGACCTCACCTGGAGTATTGTGTCCAGATGTGAAGTCCTCTGTACAGGAAAGACATGGAACACATCCACAAAAATGGTCCAAGGGATGGAACACCTCTCCTATGAGGATAGGCTGAGAGAGCTGGGGCTGTTCAGCTGGAGAAAAGAAGGGTCCAGGGAGACATGAGAGTGGCCTTCCAGTATCTAAAGTGGAGCTGTAAGAAAGAATGGGACAGACTCTTTAGCAGAGTCTGTTGTCCTACCAGACAACAGGAAGGGGAAATGGTTTCAAACTAAAAGAGGGGAGATTTAAACTGAGAAAAATACAATGATAGTTATAGCAGTGAAGTGAAGCAAGGTAGTGAAGCAGATCTTTGGAGACAACCAAGGTCAGGCTGGTGGAGCTCCTGCTTAAGCTGTAGGTGTCCCTGTTCATTGCAGGGGAGTTGGACTAGATGGCCTTTAAAGGTCTCTTTAAACAATTCATTCAAGTCTATGATTCTGTTCTAAGAATCAGCTAAAAGCTTTCAGCTGAGTGGGTGATTCTAGGAACTTTTGACTTTCTGCTGAAGTTACTGGTTCCTATTAGCTCAGGTGGAACGTGACCATTGGCTAATAAGCGCAGAACAGGAAACCAGATTTGTAAGGTTCTAATTTCTGAATAAACAGGAGATTGTTGGAGGGCAGATATTTATTATCTTTCTCATGCATCCCTAAGTCACTGTGTTTGTCTTTTCCTAAGCTAAACTATCCAAAGGATTCCCTCTTCCCAATTTGGCCAATGTTACCTTCACAAGACCTCATATTACTATCGCACAGGTGAGATTTTAACATTCTTATGAAAATGTTTGTTTGTTTGTTTGTTTTTTGCATGATGGTGGGCACTTATTTACCTTCCACTAGTACAGGGAATTTTCTGGATTTTGAACTAGTTAAGGATGTTTTAAAATCTTTTTTTGCATCCCCCCACCTTGAAGCATCCACATATGCAGTCCCTACAGAAAAAAATAATTGCTTGGAAGTTGCTTTCAGTGACTCTAGCTGCCAACCACCTTACAAGCTAATTACATAGCTTACATAGTTTTTAATGGTTCTGTGGGACCCATTTCCCACCTCACTTTCTCTAGTCAGTTTTCTCATCATTAGCTAGGAAAGACAGGACATAGGTGAATGGAGCTGGTAGTTGGACCAGGTGATCTTAGTGGTCCTTTGTAACCTTAATGATTCCATTGCCAGCACATTGCAAAGGGATAACACAGAGGGCAAAGATGGAGCTCTCTTGCAGTTTGAAAGACAAGAGTTTAATAGAGCTCATTACTCCCAAGTCCCAGCTGTCTTCAGTAGATTTTCTGACTTTTCAACAGCAGGAGTTGAAATTGAAAAAAAAAGCTTCCTTTTTTTTTTTTTTTAAAACTTCATAGCATTTCTGTGACTGTTCTTCTCCCCACAGGGATATGTGTTGATTTCTACCGATGCTCACTACAGGCACTGAAGGAGAAGAATCACCGCCTGTTAGGCGTGATGAACCTCAAATTAATAACGGGACTGTTGAAATAAAGCCTTGTCTACACACTTGTTGTGTCTGTCTTCCTGAAAGGTGCCGCCGCCTCTCACGAGAAGTACACTGTCAGTTCTGTGAGTACAGCTCTATGCACTGAGCAGGCTAGGGCGCTCGGAGGGAGAGTGGCGCAGCACGGCCTGCGGTTCTCTGCATCCCCAGCGGCCCGGCTTGCCGCACACAGCCCTGCCCCGCGCCCCTCAGCGCGGCTCTCTGTCCCAACGAGCTGAGCGAAGGCCCGGCCGCTTCGCCAGGGGGCGCGCGCGGGCGCGCGGGAGGAAGTTTGTCCCTCGGCGGTTCCCGTCCGCTTTCCGCCTCCGCTGAGGTGTCGTGGCCCTCGGCGGCCGCCGTCGTGTGTCGCTGTTGGCCGGGCATCGCCGGAGGGGTTCAGCGCGAGCGAAGCCACCATGAGCCGCAGCTACAACGATGAGCTGCAGTACCTGGACAAGATCGACAAGAACTGCTGGCGGATCAAGAAGGGCTTCGTGCCCAACATGCACGTGCGTGGGGAGGGGGGGATTGGGGAGGTGGAGAAGAAGGGTGGAGGAGAAGAGGGATGCCCGGCCGCTCTGACCTCTCTCCCCGCAGGTGGAGGGAGTTTTCTACGTGAACGACCCGCTGGAGAAGCTGATGTTCGAGGAGCTGCGCAACGCCTGCCGCGGCGGAGGTGCGTCTGTGGGGAGCGAGGCCTTCACGCTGAGGGCTGGGCTGGGTTGGCAGCGCGCTGGTTTGCCCACAGCTTGCTTTTATCCAGGCCGAACAAGCCCAGCTCCCTCAGCCTGTCTTCACAGGAGAGGTGCTTCAGCCCTCTGAGCATCTTCGTGGCCCTCCTCTGGACCTGCTCCAACAGCTCCACATCCTTCTTGTGCTGGGGGCCCCAGGCCTGGACGCAGTGCTCCAGACTGGAGGAGGACAGTTCCCTCCCTCTCCCTGCTGCCACTGCTCTTCTGATGCAGCCCAGGGTACAATTGGCCTTCTGGCCTGCATCACACACTGGTGGCTCATGTTAAACTTTTCACCTATCAGGACCCCAAAGACCTTGGCAAGGCTGATATCAGTGAGTCCCAGTCTGTACATATATCTGGGATTGCCTTGATCCAAGTGCAACACTGTGCACTTGGCCATGTTGAACCTCATTAGGTTCAGATGGGACCAATCTTCAAGCCTGTCCCTCTGGATGGCTTCCCTTCCTTCTGTCATATCAACATAATGATATGTCAGATCTTTCTTAATGCTGACCAGATTGTGATTTCTGGTGAGCTGGTATTTTAAGCAGGCCCTGCAGAAAGTACCTCACTGTGATTGCCATGGTAAGCTGTCTGATTACTGATGTATTTTGTTTTTCTTCTGTTGGTTTTAAGGTGCGGGTGGCTTTTTGCCTGCTATGAAACAGATTGGGAATGTGGCTGCATTGCCTGGAATTGTTCATGTGAGTCATTGTTCTGAAAAGTTGTTTTGTGCTCCTGCTTGCTATTGATGATAGGAATACTGCTGTGAGAAGGTGTTTGGATGAGAGCTCTCTCTAGCACAGCTGGTGTGTCGGGTAGCTGGCTCTGAGTGTTTGCAAGGACAGGCTGTGAAATTTCAGAAAGGGGAGCATCTACTTATTTCATTGACTGCCTTTTGACATTAAGCCTTGTTGGCTTTGCTTTATGCTATTCCAGTTGCTTTAGCCACTGTTTTTCCACTGTCTATTGTTTTTGAATCCTCTCTGCTGACCTGCAATGCATGAGGAAGAGAGGAAGGAACATGCAACTGGTTTCCCTGGCCCCATACATGTTGGAAATGAAGCATCAAATACAGTGATGCAGGAAGAACATCACTTTTCAAGAAACATTAAGTACAATGTGGAAATGATCTTTTTATGTTCAGTGTTGCTTACATTAAGAAGTACCAGAACTGTCTTTTTTTTTTTTTTTTTTCCAATTGTTTCTCATGGTGACTCAGCAAAATTTTTCAATTTCTGGCTACAGTAAAAGGCTAATCATCAATTTGCTAAGTGATCAACTAAGAAGAGGGTGAGGGAAAGTTGAAGCAACCTGTTTAAATGGGAATTATGGCTGATAGTTTGTAGGAGAGATGTTATTATTATCTTTCTATTCACATCTTCGCTTTGTTTAATAAGATTTCTTGTTGATGGTAAAGGGAGGGAGAAGAAGCATATAAGCCCCTGAAAAAGTTCTCCTTTTCATGTATAGCAACAGTTTAACACATTCAGCGGGTTTCAGAAAACAGACAGAATTTTTGAGTCCTATTTGCAATGTCATAATCTAAATTTGCCATGCCTCAAACTTGTAGAGTTGTGTAGATGCACACTCTTTCTTTAATTGGCAGTAATGTGAAAGGTTCAATTAAAAGTAATTCTTTTATGAATTGACTCAGCTCCTAACTTATCTTGTCATATTGAAAGAATGACTTTTTCAACCCATGGCATGCAGTTTTAGTTCAACGTTCAGTGACGGAGTTAAGAAAGGAAAGTGCTGACTGTTGTGTGATCTTACTCCATTGCACTGGCTTCCTTCTTTGTTAAATTTACTGCATTTAAGTATTGCTGTAGATGGCACCTGACAGGGACAAAACTCATCTTCAGTCTTACGTCTCTGCTCTGTGCCAGTCATAAGTTATTGCCTACAAAGATGTCAGTGCAAAGGCTCTTGAGTCCAGGGATAAACTAGATTTCATTTTGCGATCACAGTTCTTACACTTGGGTGTTTGGTTTTTTTATAAGTTTTCTTGAGACTGGGTCAATCTCAGGAGGGGCTGCTCAGCTGACTAGCCTCTAGAGCTTGCTTCATGGTGAGATGAACTGCTCTCTGCTTTCTTTGATGGTTTCTCTTATAAACTGTAGGAGTTTAGTTATTTTCCTGAATTCAGATGTCTACTCCATCAGAACATCCTTTCTCTGTCTGGTCTATTGGTCTGTACATGTGACAACCACTAGCACAAGTCACAGCATAACCAAGATGACTCTTAGTGCAGTACAAAGTTTGCAGAACTTTGAAATTTCCTTTGTTTTCTTTCAGAGATCCATAGGCCTGCCAGATGTTCACTCTGGCTATGGCTTTGCCATTGGCAACATGGCAGCCTTTGATATGAATGATCCTGAAGCAGTGGTGTCACCAGGTGAGATTACTTCAAGACTGACTTAATCTGCACTGAGAAAGGTCTGCATTGGCTTAAAAATACGTGGCAAAGTGGCAGATCTTTACAGTATATGTGTATATATATATGTATATATATATGCAGAACAAAGACAAAAGATATCTGAATTACACAGAGTTAAGAGACACTTAAATTTCTGTGCTCAGAATCTTTATTCCTCACAGAGTGAATGGTTGTTCTGTAAGCATTTAAACAGTACAGAAAAAATTACCATTATGTTTTTGTCTTGGGCTTGTATCCCTCAGTCTTGAAGAGAGAGCACGAGACTTTGGACTTGGGTTTCACCACGTTGATAAAGAATTGACTCTTCTCTTTGAGCAAGATTTGAAGCCCCTTTTTAAGAATAGTTCTGTATTTGTTTTAAAACATGACCTTATATTTCTGACTTTTTTATATATACCTTGGTTTTTACTAACTGATGGTCTACAGGTGCTTTTGTGGTTGTACCTGAGATTCATGTTTTAGGCCTTTATTCAAATCGTGTGTTCCCAATGGACTCAAACTGAAGATCTTCTTGTCAAACTGAAGATTTCCTTGTCTTGTGTCCCCACTCTGACACTAGTAAAGGTGGAGTAATTCACTCACAGTCAGCCTCGCTCTGTGGTGGTAGTTTATATTACATGCTGAGAATTAAGCAAAACTAAAATTTCCTATTAAATATTTACTGCTTATTATAGTATTTATTCCAGTGAAGATTCAAAAACGATTTGCTTTCAGGGACTTGCTTTTGGGAACTATGTTAAGATTTTCATCTGTCACTTCCCTTGTGTCCTGAGGCAGTTGAATGTCCTCTTCAATTTCTGTATATGTATTTAATTAAAGTGGTATATACTTGGCTGGAGCAACTAGCAGATGCATAGAGCATGTATTTTGAGATGGAAAAGCTGTGTGTGGGATTTTCTAAAGAGTGGTTAGGTTTGTCTTTGCAAAACTATCTGGCTCTCTTGAAATCTATGGCTTCTTGTAAATCTGTTAAAATGTAACTTAATACAATTCCCAATATTATCTTAGAAAGCAGATGTAAGATCACATCATTTGATACGTGCTCCCTGTCAGCAAGGACGTTGATTTAAGATTAATATTAATCTCATCTCTAATATTTTAATATTAATGTTTAGCAGACAGCATTAGCACACTATTAACTGTATGGCTCTTCTTGCACTGCTAGGTGGTGTCGGATTTGACATCAACTGCGGTGTCCGCTTACTGCGTACAAATTTGGATGAAAGTGATGTGCAGCCTGTGAAGGAGCAGCTCGCCCAGGCCATGTTTGACCACATTCCTGTCGGTGTTGGTTCGAAGGGAGTCATTCCCATGAACGCCAAGTAAGAGAACAACTTTGTGTGCACGTCACTGCAGTGGTCATCTCTTGTTTTTATGAAAGATTCAAGGGTGGGAGACTTCATGAGAGGGAAAAAATTCTAAGCCTTTCTATACATGTGCTTCTCCAGGAGGAGAACCATTTCTCAGGACCAAACCTAGTTGAGTTTTGAATATTTCCAAGAATAAAATGCATAAATGTGTTTGCCAACTGCAGGGATTTGGAAGAGGCTCTAGAGATGGGTGTAGACTGGTCTCTCCGGGAAGGCTATGCCTGGGCAGAGGACAAGGAACACTGTGAGGAGTATGGAAGAATGCTGCAGGCTGATCCCAACAAAGTCTCTTCAAGAGCAAAGAAGAGAGGCCTGCCTCAGGTAAAGCTGTGTTTCAAAAAGGGTTTTTAGTGCTCCCAGGGTTCAAAGTGAAAGATAGCGGGTGGTTTTCTGACTTTGTCTTTTCTTGAACCTTTGCCTAACAGTTCTTGGCAGGTGGAAAGGTGAGACGGTGGTGCTATTTCTGATTAATTCTTGGCAGAGTTTGAACACAGGGAAACATGATAAATGTTGGGCGTACCCAAAGTCCCTGGGGGCATCAGGTTTTCACCAGTTAACACTGGGATTCATGTTTGCTGGCATTTCCCCATCCAGATGTAGTTTTATTGAGAGACAGGCAAGCTGTTCTGTAACTTTTCTCCTTGTTTGCATAGCAAGCTAATAGCAGGGCAAGGAAAGATACCACAATAAATGTGACTAACTCAGAACTTTGAATTAGAG